AACGATCAGCAGACTCATTTCGCTAATCATACGAACAAAAACGTGGACCCCGCCGTGGAGGCAAAGCTTATCGATGACTTCCATCGCCTCGCAGCGGAGATTCTCGTCGCTTCAAAGGAGAATAAGGGTCCGCCTGCCCAGGACATCTACGACAGCCTCGAGCAGCACTTCGGCTACATTGAGTGGCGGGCCGATGTCATTGTCGGAGATGTTCGTCGCCGTCTGATGGACACTGTGCTCGTCATGTTTGACCCGGATTCCCTTGAATCTCAGCAGTACATTGATACCAAGAGCCAGGAGCGGGCGTTTAAGTTGTGGGAATTTTGGGCCTTCACCAACTTGAGCCAAGTGGATGAAACCACTTTCGCTGCTATGGACGACAGCGATCGAAAGTATTGCATGGTTTTCAACAAGGAGTCCATCATCATGCCTGGCTCAATGCCAATCTTCCACCCTCAAGCTTGCTACAAGGCCCCGGAAGCTGACATGAGCATGGGAGATTATGATTCCATGGCTAACCATGAGACCGTGGTCTCTGAGGATACTTCGCAGTATCTTGGTCAAGCCGAAGATGGTGTATATCACTCGCACTACTCACAGGGCCCGATGGACGGACAAAATTTCTACCACATGTCGCTCCACGCTTACCCGGAGGTTCCCACCTGTGTTCATGACCCCCTCAACACGGAGGATCACATGGAGGATCACACCAACATGCAAACAGCAATCGATCCAATCGCTCCAGTTGCTGTGCAAGCTAAGCCGAGCAAACACAGAGCTGCCAAGCCCCGTCGGAAGACAGCCAAGGCTGCTGCTGTGGAGAGTGACTCGAACAGCAATCCTCCCGACGGCCTCTACGTTCCCGACAAACATCATGAAATGTTCGGCGAGAACGGTCCTTTTCGAGGCATCGCTTACGTTCTGAAAGCTGGCAAGAGAAGCTGGGTGGCCCATCCCGATTATGCGTCAGTTAAGTCGAGAGTCTTCGGGGACAATCACATCCCCGTCGGCAAATGGTGGCCGGCTCAGATGGTCGCCTGTGTCAACGGCGCCCATGGTAACTGGTTCGGCGGAATTACTGGAGACAAGGACCAGGGTGCTCATTCGATCGTCAAATCCGGTGGGACTTACGACAGTCTCAATGAGGACCAGGGCAATACCATCTTTTACTCTGGATCAGGCGCCCACAAGTGTACAGACAACAAGCCGAAGAATTCTGACGGCACTGAGATGCTGTATAAGTCACTCAAGAGCAACCGGCCTGTCCGCCTGCTCCGTGCAGCTACCAAGAAGGGCAACAACGGTCTTTACAGCCCCAGCGTTGGCATTCGGTATGATGGCCTGTACGATGTGGTTCGTCGCACCAAGGCCTTCAACGACAATGGAGGCGCCTACTAGAAGTTCGAGCTCCAACGTCGCGATAACCAGATCGACCTCGAGGAACTCCGCGAGATTCCCACCAAGGAGCAGTGTGCCATCCACGCCGCTATGAAGACGGCGTACCCGGCAACGAACAAGAGATTCAAATAGTGTGTATTTCACGCGCGGTGGAAAGTGAGTGCCACGGGTGTCTATCAGAGAACCAGGATGGGAACGTCGCTTGGCTTTCAATTTGCTCGTATTATCCGCCCACGAGAGTATGGAAAGTTTTAAAGCACATTGGGGGTTTTGTTTTTTGGAAGCCATAAGGCCATTGATCAGGGTGGAAGAATCATTTTTTGGGATTGCCTAGTCTCACGATTGAGGATGGATGTACATAGAGTCTACTAAACCTCGAACGTACCTAGACAATCAAGCATACCCACCCAATCAGTGCCTACGTTCTCGGACTATGACTGTCTGGATTGAGCTGTAATAGAAAGACAGGGGATGTTATTATCAGGACAAGGGGTGATGCAAGAACGGGTGGCCCGATTGCCCAATCTCGGAGATCGGGAAGGACTCCGAAGTAACGTATGATACGGCAAATGATCAGCAACATCGATACTTCGACAACCAACATCCAGTCCCTAAAATCGGGCGGTCTTTCATACTTGTCTTGGCGAATGTCACTGATTGGAGCGGGTAGTTGATCACGTCCCATGGAAGTCGAAGTAAGCTCTCCCCGGTCCGGATTCCTGCTGGCCAGCCCCCGGAAGCGATGCGAAATTGCCCAGTGTGACGTAATTGCACACTCAATGCTCGTATTGAGCATGAAGCGAAGAGTCTCAATACTAGACCTGAGCCGGTCGCAGCGCGCCCGACTGATGGGGGAAATTGTCCAACAAAGGGCTTCCCATTTGGTTGATGAATGAAACGTACTATTATGCATGCCTATGAAGCGTCGACGAGCTTCCTAATCTATCGACCATGAGCCAGTGATATGTACTGATACGCTTATAATAAATGGTATCGCCGGCGTGAAAAACAAGCCCGTCCAGTAATGCGAAGCTGCCAGCCTGAAACTTCTTCACTCTGAAAGTCACCGTCAGTATGAGACTCCAGAAGCTCATCGCCGCTCTCCTCGCGTCATGCGCGACACCAGCACTCACTGCCGTCTTGCGACCAAGACAGGCGCCGGGTGCTGCTGAGGGTGTGACGATGATCACCAGTCCTGGTGGTTCTCAAATTCGTTTCAAGGAACCTGGCAAGGAAGGAGTTTGCGAGACCACGCCGGGGGTCAACTCCTACAGTGGATACATTGATATCGCCCCTGATGTTCATGTGTTCTTCTGGTTCTTTGAGTCGCGGAGAGACCCTGCAAATGACCCTGTGAGCTTCCAAAGTTCGACTCGTCAAACTTGGAGGCCCTCGAGCTGACAGAATCCAGGTTACACTCTGGCTCAACGGTGGTCCTGGGTCCGACTCTCTCATTGGACTGTTCGAGGAGATCGGACCTTGCGAGGTTGTCGAGAATATGACGACGGTCCTGAGAGACTACTCCTGGACTGATATTTCCAACGTCCTCTTCCTCTCCCAGCCAGTTGGAACAGGTACTTTCTCCAAGGTCTTGAAAACTACGTATTCTGAAGACTGACCGTCGCAGGCTTCTCCTACAGCGAGAAAGAGGTGGGTTTCCTTGACCCAACCTACCTCCTGGTGGACAAGGAGCCCGAGAGCTCAGATGAGCGAGAGGGTCGTTGGGCTGTCATCGACCCAACAAAGGAAGACACCAGCCGTCTAGCTGCCATAACCTGCTGGGAGGTTTTGCAAGGATTCTATGATGCTTTGCCGCAACTGAGCACGTCAAACATCTCCTCTATTGACTTCCATCTTTGGGCTGGTGAGTAGGCTGATCAAATCCGACTGTCCCCGGGTTACTAATGGAATTCCAGAGTCATTTGGTGGCCACTGGGGCCCGGCGTTCTACACTCTCTTCAATGAGAAGAACTCCGAGCTCGATGAAAACACCGCGACAGGCCGCAAGTTGAACTTGAAGAGCCTCGGCATCGTGAATGGCATTGTTGACGAGCACACCCAGACGCGATACCTGCTTGACTTCACCAGAGGAGAGAACAATGGATACGGAGTTGATCTGATCAACGACACCATCTACGATTACGGAAAGTGGAACCGTGATCGCCCAGGTGGATGTCAAGAGAAGCTTGACTATTGCGACTGGCTCAAGCGAGACTCCATCGTTCGTCGCTCTGCCTGCTCAGCTGCTCAGTTTATCTGTCAATCCGATGTCGAGGGGATGTTTTACACATTCAATCTTGAAGGTCGTGGAACTTATGATATTGTGAGTCCCTCGACACTAACGACTCGTGCCGGACTTACCAGGCATAGCGCTTTCGTTCAGGAGAAGACGTTCCTCCCAACTACTGGAGGGTAAGTAGACAAAGCCTGACACCAGAGCGATTGCTAACTATGCAACAGCCCTACTTGAACACCGGACCCGTTCAAAACGCTCTTGGCGTGGATCTCAACTACACGTCAAACAACCTTCTCTACACAGCTTACACCCTCTCTGGAGACTTCGCTGTCGGCTACCTCCCAGACATCGAAAAGCTTCTTGAGCTTGACGTACAAGTGTCCCTCGTCTTTGGAGATGCAGACTACATCTGCAACTGGCTTGGCGGAGAAGCGCTCTCCCTTGCGGCTGAGTGGTCTGGTGCCGAGAACTTCCGCGACGCTGGGTACACGGAGCTTACGGTCGATGGGGTTGCCTATGGAGAAACGCGGCAATACGGAAAGCTGAGCTTCACTCGAGTTTGGAACGCAGGCCATGAGATCCCATGTAAGCCACTGCGAACCCCGGTGATGCACCGCACCAAGCTGACAATCACCAGATTTCCAGCCAAAGGCTTCATTCCAGATTTTCAACCGAACTACCAACCGGTTTGATATTGCGACGGGTGAAGTTGTGATTGCTCCTGATATCACCTACAAGACGAACGGGACAGCAAAGACAACGAAGACGACTACTCTGCCACCTTTGCCAGCTCAAACGCAAGCCTGAAGGATAAGCACGATCAATCTAGCAGGACGTACTCTACGGCGTTAATCAAGTGTCAATAACCTTGTTGGGCTTTGGAGAGCCAAGTGCGCGTGTGTCTGTGTCGGTTTAAGCTTGACAGTAAACTTGAATAGAGCGGATAATTCTCAGCTCTAGCGGGGAAATGAACTTCACACTTGGTGATGATATTCAATTACTGCCATTTGTATCACTGAGGACAGAAAAGGGTCTAGATGAGGTGCAGCTTTGATGATATCCCGTATGACTGCTTACCTAAATGTAAGCCCGTCTTTTTCTTGTGATGAATAGTTACTTTTTTTATATGCTCATACATAATCTAAGGTATCCTACTGTCGTCGTAGTCTCTACTTGCATTATTCTTTATCAAAGCATGATCTTAGATTCAATTAAGACACAGGATATATGAACATGAATGTTCGGGGAACTTGAGCGGTCTGTGGTAAGAATCCAAAGCAAGGCCTTACTTGATGAATAGGGAGTATATAGTACACGAGTGATGCCAATCATAGTATTTCTTTCCATCGATGCAAGGAGAATTCTTTCATGACGTATTATCTATGACAGGGAACTGTGCTATGTGAAGCTTCGCAGTTGCGTATGGCACTAACTTCGCCCTGAAAGGCTGGCTTTGAATCTTCTTCTCTACATCGAGAGGGTCTGCTGCAGTTCCGTTCCGAGTTGGCCAGCTGACCCAAGCAGCAGAGACCTCAAGGTGCACAGGAGAGGCTCCCGAATTCCACACAGGATTAGGAAGTTCTGAAATTTCCCTGTCGCCTCCTTGCTCCCACGGACCCTTGTGTACTACGACCTCTAAACCCTGTGTTGGATCGATGGCGATGTTCCAGTCGGCAGTTGGTAAGTAGTCGTGGTCACGGGTATGTATCATCCATGGTTCCTTGTCTTGGTTAGCCACGGACGAAACCTCGGTACACTCTGAAGCTTGGTCCTTGTAATTGCGTGGAAGCCTGGTCTCGGTTTTGAAGTCGATCTCATACGCGTAAAGCAGAGGTCCATAGTGAATACTGACTGAGCCGTTCTCATGCTTCTGAACACGGACCTCCGTATGGATTGTGATGAACACATCAAAGTCGCCGGCCGCGGGTATGTCAATCTTGTGAACATGGCTGCTGCTGTCCTCCTTGTTTTGTATGAATGGCTGCGGCTTTGCTGAAGCAAGCGAGCCTGAGCCCTTGAACTCGATCGTAGAAGATGGAGAGGCCCAGTCTGGAACTCTAATTAACAATTCAAATGGTTTGCTGGTGGAGATGCTATAGCGAAGCGCACACGGGGCAAATGGGTAGTTCGAGTCGCAGTTGATGGTGATATCCTCAGTTTCCAGCCTGGATGGTATAAGATAGGCATGAATGATGGATGTCATCCCTTCCGGGGTCTGTTTCCACAGGAATGCATTCATCAAGAGCTTAGGGTAAGCAGTGGGGTGATTGACTGTGCAACAAGGCTACCCGGGAATTAATCACCAGACCTCTCGTTATGGACTTTCTGGCCACTTACGAACTCGGGTTCTAGCCCGAAGACATTTGCGTACCGGCAAACATCGTAGAACGGTGTTTTCTCGCCCTCTGGAAGCTCCAGCTCTTTGGCCCAGGGCTGGTTGACCTGCGTGATGTACTGATGACTCCACCAGTCTGCACTGATACCAGCAGGAACGGCATTGAAGGCTACTGACTCTACCATATCGGCAAAGTGGTTGTCTCCGAAAAGCTGGTAAAGGTAGGAGATCGAGAACATTAGCTCCACAGAGCAACATAGCTCGGAGCCCCGCTGCGGCGAAAGCCCGCCGATGTACTCATCGCTGCTGATGGATCCTGCAGCTATGCCGTGGTAATCGAAGGTCTTCTTAACAGCATCTCTACAAAGAGATGCAAGATCGTCAGACGGTGCCATCCGGTATAAATGAGCCGGGTATCGAAGGCCTGCGACTTGGTTCAATATGAGATGGATCTTATTCAGTTAAAGTGTCTTACCTTGTGCAACGTTGACTCCGTGCTTGAAGTTCAGAGACTTGTGGCGGACTGAGGGCGTCTTGGGAAAGTCTTCCCCAAAGAATTTTGTCCAGTCTCTCTCCATGATACGAGAGCCTTCCCACATCATGTTCATAACTTCCCAAATGCCGTGACGATCACTGGAGCTTTCGGGCTGATCGTAGAGCCACTGAAGTGTAAGAGCTAGTTCATGAGCTCTAGCGACCCCAAAAAGTTGCAAGTCGAAGACATCATCCTTCTGTGCAATGTAACCCTGGTAGTTATTCTTGAGCATTTTGCGAACCAGCCTCACAAAACGCAAGACGGCTTCTAGGATCGTTGCACGTCTTGACCAGTCCGCGATGGCATGATTCATGAGCCCCTGAAGCAGCAAACAGCGCGCCCATATTCCCCGGGTATGTGATGTAGTTTCCGGACCCAGCCAGCCATCTTCGGCTTGATGTTCAAGCGTGTAGTCCAAGAAGTAGTCCGCTTGCTTCTTCAAGTCCAAGAACAGCTGCGGATCAGAGTCTCGATCCAAACTATACGCAAGCGGAACGATGTAGTTGTACCAGTATGGTGCAGCTTCGTTTAGGGGGGTGTACTCCCATGTTCCTCCAAGCCATGTGCTCTCTTTGACAAATCGATAAAAGTGGAACAAGTTCCCTCCGAGACCTTTGGCACTCAGTCGAAGCTGGTCGCGAAACCACCCATTGGGTTTGATTGCACCCAAGGGATAAAGTTCGTACTTGAAGGGAACGAGAGCTTTGTTGAAATGCTCAGTAGATGCCATAGCTGAAGGCTTGGTGATATTTAATGGGTGACTGAGCACAAGATAATGATAGGATGATTCGGCTAGTTGCTATGATCTCGAAATTGATGGAACAACGCCAGCTGAAGCCACCGACGTTCACCAGAGTGTCTCGAAAGATATGTTGTCAAATGTGGAACTTGGGAGTGATATGTCACTGTGTACAGGGATGTTCCTCGTTAGACAAACTCCTTCGACTTCCCGGAGAATTCAATGGAGACGATCGGCATCCAGCCCACTTGTTGCTTGTGGGGTAATTGGGACCGGCTGGCCGGATGCAAGATCGGGATCGTGCCCGACGCTACGGGGCGCCACTCCGGACCGCTGGAACAACACCCCGCACTGCCGCGGAGGCCGGGAGGTATGTTGCGGGCCGATAAGCGCCACGGAGAGCCTTCTGCTTAGGGCTTGTTACATATCCGTCCCGAAGTTTGAGCTTTCATCTTGGTTAGCACCAGGAACAAACGGCTGCGCGAAACCACGTGAACGCCGACGAGGTACTTCTCTTGTATGTTGCAAATTGACCTGACTTCTCGGGGCTTGGAAGGCGGGACCTCAAACATGAGCCAATTCTCACACTGCTTACCTTCCAACTGGCTCAGCCATTTCCAAACATGCTGCTGAATGAGCGAGTGTTGTCCCTACTATTGATGACGGACGATGCTTTAAAGTTTGGTTAGGATTATGAGTTCTGATTGAACTCCTTGGAGTCTCGTTGGAGACTGCGCCGACCGAGATAATCAGGCAGCCATGCATAGCCACCGAGTCCTTGGCGTCAGACCAGTGGCGGTATCACTCTCGGGCTTTCTGATAATTTGATTAGCGGGGGACCTGCCTATGATTCTCCTCAATTGCGAAATGCTGACTTTCCATTGCTATGACGATGCTTCGATCACGCTCGCTGCCTTCGGCAAGTCCGAACGGTACTCTTAAGCCAGCAGAAAGACTGCGGCAAGCTTCGTCAGATACAGATGTCGCAAAAGCAATCTGCTGCCGTTCACTCGAAACAGAAGGCCCCTCAGATTCTTCATTACGTCAAAGTCCTGACTTGTCAGCCAGGTACAACGTCAAGCAATCGACAGCAAGCCCAAAGTACACACCTTTGCCAGATGCTGGCACATACATCCGTCTGCTCAGTTTCCAAACACTGCCGGCGGCTTCTTCTGGCACCGTCGACATACGCTGCGTCCTCCACACCTCTCGGCTAGCACAAATCCCTCAATACAATGCCATCTCCTACACTTGGGGCCCAGAAGCGCCGACAACTCTGATCGAGGTCAATGGACAACTAAAAAGTGTTCGGCTAAATTGCGAACTTGTTCTGGGGCGGGCCCGACAACACGATCCTACAGCTCTTTATTGGATCGATGCCATCTGTATCGACCAAGAAAATTTGGAAGAAAAAGGCCACCAAGTTGCCATCATGGGCAAAGTCTTCGGAACCTCTCATCTAGTGATTGCATATGTCGGCGAGCACGCAGATGATAGCCGGTTTCTCTGCAAGAAGCTCCAAAACCATGCCTACTTCTTCAGATGGGTCGGCAGAAACCAGCACTGGCTTGGCCCCAGCGACAGAGCTTTGTCAAGACTTTGGTTCTTCCTGATCAGATACAGAACCCTTCCGCGGATGCTCATCGCATTCAAATCACTTTTGAGAAGGGAGTATTTTCAGAGGGTTTGGGTCTATCAGGAGCTGTTTCTGGGCAAGCAGGTTTATGTACAATGTGGGGAGTCACTTTTGCACATACGCATGTTTCATGGATTTGCGGCAGCAAACCATGTCTGGGGGTTGATGAAAGCCCAGGAAGCGTTTGAGCGGTTAAGTCTCTCCGATGACCCGTTTTTGCGAACAGACATCCCAAAGCTTGAGATACTGGTGGCTGGTTCTTTCCAACAACAGCCGCTGGCCCTGGCAATGCTTATTGAGCATGTGCATGATTGTGAGTTGGGATGCCACGATCTCTTAGACAAAGTGTATGGGGTTCTTTCTCTGGTACATTGGCGTGGCGAAGAGCCAATCTCGCCAGATTACACCATGGATGTATTCCAGCTGGGAGTTGAGTTGCTTTCAAGGGCTAAAGAGAGCCCCATACACTCTGTCGACTTCCTTCTTGAATATGCTGAGTTGGTGGTTAAGATCCTGAAACTTCACGACGAGCTCTCGCCCAGGCTTGAACATGCGATACAGGTACGAAATCATAAGAACACGGCACAAGGACTGATGAGTTCCGCATCCGGCACGAGAACCTTCTTCTGTGAGGGATTTTTATGGAGTGGGATTCGTCTTACATGCAACAAAACTGGGGAATGGGTCTTTCCGATTGTGGAAGGCAAGACTACAGTGCATCGTGTCGTCAGGAATATCCTTCTCTCACGAACTGCTGCAGTTGGCGACTGGTGTCTGTTTCAGGGGCATGAGGGATACAGACAGATCCTTCTTGTAGTCAGAGAGGAAGTTGACGGACAACGATATTGGATAGTTGGCAAGGGTTTGGCCAGGTATAAACCGAACGTTCGGGTTCCAGCGTCAGACAGATTCCGATTGTACATCGACGCAGAAGACTTTTCAGTCATCGCCAGCCAGTCCTTTTACTTCAGTGGCAGTCTTGGGGATGTGAATGATGCGCAAGAATATCTAGAAACTGGTGTCTGCGGTGTAGCTGGGTCGTCTTACGCCGAGTCGGCTGATTAGGCATTGTGATGATTGCCTCCGCATTCTCCTTGGAAATGAAGCAGCACATGCTATTCGCGGCGATCCAATCACAAAGTGAATAAATAAGACGTAAGATTATGACGGCTGCAGGCTATCGCTTCCCAAAACTCATGCCTTGAACTTCTTATGCTAGATCAGTTCGCAACTGCAAAGGCCGACTTCAACCTCCTCCAACACTCGTTCTTCACAGCAGTATGCTCATCCGTCGTCCTCAACACCGCATCCCTGTTCTCCACTGCCCGGCGGAGCAAATACGCCAAACACTCGCCCATGCTGCCCCACGTAGAACACTTGAACACGTCCGGCCCTCCGAAACCCTCGTTCTTCTCCTGCAGAAGCGAGAAGCTGACCTCGTCAGACATGCCGTGCAGCTGTCCAAACGCAATGGGCACAGTCGGCTTGCCCTCCTTGACGCGCTGCTGGTGTAGCTTCAGCGCAGCAAAGACACTTTCCCTGTTGTGACTAGCCAACAACAGATCCACAGAGGGAAATGGCTTGGATCCGCCAAAGTCTCCAATGTGTCTCTTGACGGCGCCCTGAGAGATATAGTTGTACGCGTTATCGGTATCCTGCTTCGTTTCATGGATGCGAGAGCGGTTGTCCGAGAGGATGTACGCGCCGCGGACGACCTTGAGGCCCAGGGTGAATCCGTCCTTGCTAGCCTCCGAGAGGTGGTTGATAACGTTGTCCGTGGTGCTCTTGAGATAAGCCTGGTACGTGTTGTATATGGCAGCGTATCCGTCTCCGTTGAACTTGCGCATGAGCTCCAGGGTGACGCGGTCAATGGCCTTCTGGAAGTGCGTGGACTCGGCGTCGACGATGATTCTAATTCCGCGCTGTTTGCATGTTGTGGCGATCTCATCGAGGGCGTCGAGCATCTGTTTCGGGGGGAAACTGTCTTCGGCGAAGGCTTTTGTGACTTCGCGGCCAGCTCCGGTCAACTTGATGGCGAGGATGTCACCCTCGCCAACCTGTGCCGCAGTCTCCAGGGTACCGCATCTCCAGGACTCGATTTCAGAATCGACGCCAGCAATACCCGATGCAGCAGCGGTCTTTCCAGTCTCGTGAGCCGATTGAGTTAAGTGGTCGAATACAGTCTCCTTGGCGTAGGTGAGAATGACGCCCTTGAAGCCCAAGGCTTTGAGCCGGTCAACACATGCTTTCGTCTGTTCAGGGGTCTCTCCGGCGCAGAACTGGTCGTAGAATGTCTTCTTGAGGATGGCGTGTAGTACTGGGTTGCGATCAACGTCTAGAAGGAAGCTTCCGCTCGACTTAGAGAGGAAAGATAGTGCGTAAAGTGAAGGGATGAGAAGGAAGCGGTTTGATGAGATGGTGGTGATGAGTAACGATCTTAGAAGGGTTCCCGTAGATAAGATGGATAACGGCGCGCCAGGAACGGATTTCCATGCTGGAGGGCTCTTGAGCTCAATGCTGCTTGTCTCTGGAATAGCAGCATGTGGCGACCCTGCTCCGACTGCTTGTCGCGGTTGTGTTGGCTTCCCGTAGCTTCGTCTGCCAGATACGACGAACGCGGGGTTCGCCCAGGGCGTCTTGGCAGATGCCAGCCCCAGCGACACCTTCATGGTATGTCTAGATGTGAATGTGACAGAATTCGTGTACGTCGCAACTTCAAGAGAGTATTCGGATGCTTCCGAGTATGAGATGAGCCCGTGATTTGAGCGGTTGAAAGGGGGACGGCTTCTAAATGCTTATTCGGTTTCCCCGCCTCTGGTCGTGATCGGATCCGGTGGTTTCTCCAACGCCTCCTTCTCCAACGCTTCGTTCCGGTCCGATGTACGGACGTGGCGGGCATGGCCATCCTGGTGGCTAACAGGTCACATGCTGTGGTTTAGATGGGCATGCCAATCGGGATTGCTTGCAATGAGTTCCGTCTTGGAGATATGAGTTGGCGTCTGCGTCTACATAGTACATGTACGCTGTTTCGATGGCTGGAGCTGGCTATCGCTCCTCTCTCCCCCGCACGCATCGCGATGCTAGCCGAACAGGGAGTAAGCTTGGAGGGGGACGTGTGTAGCAACTGTACTCTGGGGGGACGTCTTCGTGAGTGAATGGCTGGCAGCTCCGATAACATGTCACTTGATGCTATGCACATGTGCAGATAAGATAGCTGGCATCGCCGAGGATCTGGGCGATGGCCGAGAGAGGAAAGTGGCTCGACGAGGGTACCGGAGAGGGCTCCGGGAGGGGATCCACTTACCGGACACCCCTCCGATGCGACCCCATCGTCACTCAACACCAGTCCGACTTG